CACTCATTTACAGTCATACACTACAGAAAATTTAGCCTACCCAATTCACCTCTTCCGCATGCTTTAGAGTGTGGGGGAAACCAGAGCACCCAGAGGAAACCCACGCAAACGCAGGGAGAACATGCAAACTCCTGACCCCTGAACTGACCCAGCCGAGGCTCGAACCAGCGACCTTCTTCCTGTGAGGTGATAGTACTACCTACTGCTACTATGGGTATAGTTTGGAGCACATTATAATATATATAATATATATATTATTATATATATTATAATATATATAATATTATAATATATATAATATTATAATATATATATATATATATATATATATATATATATATATATATATATATATATATATATATATATATATATATATATATATATTTATTTATTTTTTATAATGTGCTCCAAACTATACCTATTATAACTACAGTGCACCAATAGGATCACCCAGGATCCTGGGCGGACTCAATTCTAGGCAGACCTGGGGGGACTCATTTTCTCATGACACTGGCGACCTCAGTCAACTTGACCAACAGTGTCCGTTTGCGACCAGGTGGGCATGTCAATCCTTTAACCTTATGCAAATTAAGAGGGACATTCTTGAGCTACGGCCAATAAAAGCACCAGTAGAGCTCACATGATCCTCTTTCGGCTTGCTAAGAGGCTGTTTGTATTTACACAGACTGCACAGACCTGCGTTTGCAGCAGGTCACCACCCAGAGCGACAGGCAGTTACAAAATCGCTGCTAGTCTGAATGAGGCATTAAAGGGACTTTGAGAAAAAGGAGGAGAAGGAATTTGCCACCATTTAAACATGCAGACTCATTTACATATTGCATTGGAGTTACTCTGCAATGTAAATTATGCTTTTTACTATGAATGTTTTAGAACTTTTGATTTACTTGCCTACGATGTAAATGTCTAGAAATAACAAACGACAAAAAACGGTCAAACTACTTACTCTAAAAACATAATAAAACATTTATTATTATAATAAGAAAATACAAGTTTGCAACATCAAGTAGTATAACAAGCTAATTTCAAAGCTAAAAATCAATGCAAGTGAATAAGATCCGGAATATTTAAGCCAATAAGATTCCAATGGCTGCGTCCGCTCTCACATGACAGAATAAGGTCAATATTAACATTTAACTTTCATAAGAATATGCTCGACAACACTGTAATTTCAATACCACCCAAACTGCTTCAGTATATGTCATCTCAGCTTCAAATGAGCCGAGAGGCATCTTGCACAGTGACCCTTCCAATAACAAAGCAGACATTTACTCAAAATCTTGCATTTCTATGCAACTCTGGAAGTCCTAGAATGCCCTAGAATGAAGAATCCATGTCTAATCTTTCAGCTGACTCATTTATCCGTTATTTATACCAGCAGATGTCTTTGCGCCCACCCCGTCCTCTCTCTCTCACCTTGAAGGACATATTTATTAGGAATCTTCTGTGCCAAACCCCAGCATGAAGCCCCCACCCCCCCCCCCCACACACACTTAACATACAGCATGACGAGAAGCCATCAGCAGTCGCAGGCAGGCACCTTGTTTGCTGTATTAGATTTGTTGTTTGTCAGTATTTATTGTAACACTCATAACCGGCCCATTCTGCCTCCCAGGAGGCTTTGCAGCATTCAGTCAATCAATACACACATGGAGCTCTGAATCACGCTGCATGTTATAGCGACTGTGTCCTTGAGCCATAGAGAGCCTCTGCAGTGCATGACTGCAGTAACGGTTGAGGACTCTCAAGACTGAAAAGCAATAAAAATGGACGTGAGGAAAAAAAAATAGGGTAATAGTTGCAATATATTGAGAGGTAAAGCAGGTGTAATCAGGATGGATAAATCTGTATTAAGGTCTGTGTTTAATTTTGGACAGGGAAATGTTCTTGCTTTTAATAAATTAAATATTAGAAATTCACTAATACTTAAGGGTTAGGTCATAGTTAATGCTGAATGAAAATGCCGCCATCATTTGCCACCATCATTTTGCCGTATTGGTTTGACGTTATCAAAAATAATGGCGACCATCATAGTACAAAATATGCATAAAACTGACACAGGCTCATTGTGAATATGTTTCCCCGCATACATGTCAGGAGAGCATGAATTATACAGCCAGAGGTATGTAAGGCTGCTTCTTGTCTGTTGAATGTATGCTACAAGGCGGTATAACGCTGCCGATAGCTTCTGTTTCTTTTCGCACAACCAGGTGACCAATTTTACCAGTTTGCCCAGTTGATCACCGCATATGTTAGCGGATTGGAGTGAAGTTGAATGCAACGACGGGGATCAAGTCTGGAACAAAACAGTTCCAGGAAGCAGGTAAAACAAAAATAAAAGGCAAAAAATAAAATAAATAAGTAAATAAACGGTGAGATTCTTTTCTTTTTCTGGATTGCTTTTGAAAACTTTATTGATTGGGTTTGGGCAAGGGGGTGAGTGTCTGAAAGGATCGAATGATCAATCGGTTGGTAGGTCATTTGGTGGGTCAGCTAGTCTGTCAGTCGACAGTGGACTTTAGTGGATTTACATGAAAAGAGCAGGCACATTTGGCACTTGTGAGAGAAATTTGAGATTAAAAAGCAGACAAATTGGTGAATTTGGGAAAACAAAAACCGCAAAAAACGTACCTCATGTTTGTTTCTACATATTCCTCAATTGCTTAATATAACATAAATATCTCTCAATTAAATTTGAAGCAAAAACTCAGCAGAAGATTTACATTTTTTAAGTAATCTACATTTATTTAGGAATTTGGGTGCTGTCATTATTTGTTTATTAGTTTAACATTTATTAGGCGTGGCACGATTCAAACAGAATTGTTGATTTAGTTTGTTTCATGGTTCTGTGGTTATCGGTTTGTTTCAGTTTACATTTTAAAGGGAAAGCCCTATTGTCAAACTTAAATACTATTTAGAAATACGATACATCAGCATGAAATACTTATCCTTATAATCTTTCTTGCTTAAAAAGTTATTCTCAAGGTCATGTACAGTGCATCTGGAAAGTAATTATAGCGCTTCACTTATTCCAAATTATTTTTATGTTACAGCCTTATTCCAAAATGGATAAAATGAATTTATTTCCACAAAATTCTACATACAACACTCCATAACGACAATTTGAAAAAAGTATTCACAGCCTCTGATCAATACTTTGTTGAAGCACCTTTGGCAGCAATTACAGCCTCAAGTCTATTAAATGTGAAGCCACAAGCTTGGCACATCTGTCTTTGGGAATTTTGCCCATTCTACTTCGCAGTACCTCTCAAGCTCTGTCAGGTTGGATGGAAAAGCAATGGTGTAAAGCCATTTTCAGATATCTTCAGAGATGTTCAATAGGATTTAGGGTCTGGGCTCTGGCTGGGCCACTCAGGGATATTCACGAGTTGTTGAGAAGCCACTTCATTGATATTTTGGCGGAAGGTATTAGCCTGGTGATGAGCGGTCCCAGGTTTTTTCCAAACATAACACCTGGCATTCACTCCAGAGAGTTCAAATTTAGTCTCAACAGACCAAAGAGAAATTTGTTTCTGATGGTCTGAGAGTCCTTTAGATGCCTTTTGAAAAATTCGAGGCAGGGAGTGGCTTCCGTCTGGCCACTCTACCATACAGGCCTGATTGGTGGATTGCTGCACAGATGGTTGTCCTTCTGTAAGGTTCTCCTCTCTCCACAGAGTGCTGGAGCTCAAATAAAGTGACTAACTAGGGTATTGATCACCTCCCTGACAAGGGCCCTTCACCCCCGATCACTCAGCTCAAATGGCTGACCAGCTGGTTGTAAAAAACATCATCCATTTATGGATGATGGAGGCCACTGTGCTCATTGGAACTTTCAGAGCAGGAGAAATTTTCTGTATCCTTCAACAGCCATGTACCTTGAGACAATCCTCTCTTCAGACTACAGACAATTCTTTTGTCTTTATGCTTGGTTTGTGCTTTGACATGCACTATCAACCCTGGGACCTTATCATGTTAAATCAACTGAATTTACCACAGGTAAACTTCAATTAAGCTGCTGAAACATCTCAAGAATGATCAGTAGAAACAAAATGTACACGAGCTCAATGTAATTTTCAGGTTTTTAAAAAAAAAATGTCCTTCAATTCGGTCACGTCTAGCAGACATCATGTTTGAACCCATTTTCATCATTGTAAGCTGCTTGCTTTTCTGTCTGTTCCATTGCTCTATTATTGCAACATCTATAAGTCATGTAAAACAAATAATTGCACTTAAATACATTTACTTTAATTATATGGTTTGGAATTGGATGTTTTATGAGATTTTTTTATTTTTAATTTAAGAGTTTTGTAGGATCGCAAAAAATACTGTTTTTTTTTTTTTTTTTTTTGATTATGTGAGGATACAGCCATCGTGCAATTACAAAAAAACTAGGGGCTCTGATTTGACATGCATCTTACTTTTAACTGAAACATGATTAAACAAAATGTCAAAAAGTCAACATTTTAAGCAAATATAAGCTTACAAATAATTATAAGACACATTTTGTGATGTGAGTAAAAACTACTATGAAATGTTTCTGTCCTGAATTGCTTTCCAAGAAATCAAAAACCACTAGAACTAATCGTTATTGTTGTGGAAAATGAAAGGCTTCGAAATGAAAATGATGAAAACTACTGTTTATCCAGAATATCAACCTACTTGTATTTAACAGTAAGTAATTTGATGATTTAAAAAAAAAAAATCATTAATAGAGTTTTTGTTTTGTATGTTGTATATTTTGCATGACTTTTGTATAAAGAGTCACACAAAAATAAAACTACACTGAAAAGCACAAAACACGCACAGCTGAACATCTTTCACATTTACCTCTATGCATTCAGCAGTGGCCTCAACACTTCATTTGTGAAGATTAAATCTTTGTCTTCAAGATTCACCTCGTCCTTTTCATTCACTAAAAAAAGGCTTGAGGCAAGAAAAGACTCTCAATTATATTTCAAACAATAAAAGCTTCTAACCTTCCCTGCAAGTCATCCAGAGTTAATCTCCCTCCATAGTGGGTAGCTGAAGACATAATAACTATTCGGGAACATTTGCCAGGTTTGCCAGTCTTCCTAAGTGCACCCAGCAACAGGTTGGTTAACAGGAAATGGCCCAGGTAGTTTAGCCCAAAGTGTAGCTCAAATCCATCCTCTGTTCTCCTCTCCGGAACAAGCATAACACCAGCTGCAGACACAAAGGAAGCATCATTACTGATATATTATGAAAAGACAGGATATTGCAGAACACCAGGACCAATCCTGCAAGGCCTGATCAAGTATTCACACCTTAAAAAACGACTTATACATCATTTCTAAGTCAATCTTTCCCCTGGTTTGAAAAGCAATGAACATCAAACGCTCTGAGAACATGGTGCCACATGCAGAAGTCTGAATACTGTGGATTAGGTATTGCTGCTTTATTGATTTGCAGCTTTTTTTGACAGCTTTTAAAACACACGCAGAAGGATGTCAGAGATGCTTTCATATGAAACTGAGCTAGCACTAGAACCATTTCCTCCACCAATGTTCGTAATGTGATGCATTCTTCTTAATTCATGTTCCTGCTGAGAAGAAATCAAGTTGCAGATGAAAAGATGTAAAAAAATCGTCATGCGTCATCCTTGTACAAAAAGGCATTTCTATGTCTTTGAAAAGGAACGGCCACAAGACAATTAAAGTTGGTGGATCGCAATATTAAATGGATGTAATCTGGTTTAAAACCTTGACCGAGACTGAGCTCCAGCATTCAGCGGGAATAAGCTTCTGCTCCTGAAAACGTGTTTCATCATTATTTCGCTCTTAACAGAATTACAGCTCAGTTTGCAGGTGAAAACAGTCATCAGGATTATAACAATGTCCGGAGCATATTAAATGAACATTAACGTTTGTTTTTCATGTGAATATTTGTGTCTTTTTTCTTTCTTAATTTATCTTTTTGACTGTTTTAATTCAAAGAGAATGTATTTTGATTAAAATTTGTATTTATCATAACTAGTAAAATGATAAATACCCAAATGTATAGCTTGAACCCTTAAAACTGCAGTATTTTTTCATAGTTCTATTTAAAGGTGCTGTATGTAACTCTTCTAAAGCATAAAAATGCCAAAATATGTTTGCAGATATAAGTGAACATACTTATATGAAAAACAATTCTAAAGTCAGATATTCTGCTTTGAATATGGGAGTTATGTGCCATATTTGTTTTGGTTCTTTTAACTCGCCCACTGCCAGTTTAGCCAATCATATTTCAGCCCCCTGGGTTGCCTTTGTGGAAAACAGCGTATTTCATTCATTCATTCAGAAAGGCTCTCAAAACATGTGTCCGTGACCCAAATCTGACCTCTGGTGGACAGTAGATGACTCTGAAATGAGACACAGATTCAGAGTTCCATATAAGGTGATTAATTAGCAAATAATATAAATATTATGACCCTAAACATTAGGTGAGCAGGTTACATTATAATCACATTTCTAACAACACGCTGCATGCTAAGATTTGCAGCGATAAGCAATTTGGCTGTTTTCACCAGTTGAAACACGACAGAAATTTAAATACAGCCATTCAGAATATGCCCTCACTCACGAAATGGTAAGGTTTATATTCTAATAATACAAAATTAACCTCTTTAACATTATTAAATGTAGATGCTAAATCACTGATATGTGTTTGCTTGCACCGAGTCACAGTTCTAAAGTTCAATTTCAAAAGGCTTATTTTATTTTCCAAATCTGAGGTAAACTAACTGCTGCTGTTTTTGGTAGTATGGCAATACACGTCACGTAAAATGGATATTAAACTTACATTACTAGCATTTAACACTGAATTAAATACATTAGGTGTACCTGAGGTGATCATTGTCATGTATCCTGCTTTTTACCTGTGAGAAATAGAAGAAGCCATAAAAAAAAAAAAAAAAAAATTCAGGACAAAAACTCATTTTAGTATGGAAAATATTTCTTGAATGGTGTGTTGTTGCTTTTAGAAATAAAATGGTTCAAATCAGCCTTAATCAGCCTTTAGGCTCACTAGTCAGGCACACTTATGTTAATCTGGAAGTCTGCACTTGTGTGGACTCGTCAGAGGAGGAGCCGAGTGAAAATGTGTTTTGATCAAGGAGTGCAATACCTAGTTTAACCACTGGGTGTCAGTGGGTGTCAACTTACATACTGCAGCTTTAAATGTACAAATGAGATCAAACAAATTAATATGGATTATCCACTAAATCAGAACGGCATGATACTGATAGCGTGACATAGTGTGAAGTGCGATAGTGTTGATTATTTCAGGTTTAGTCTGTGGAACAAATAAACACTTTTCAACGCTTCACCACAGACAAATTAACTGATATAATTTAACTACTTATTTATGGGTTTGTTGATTTGGATAATTATTTGATACATATGTTTATACTGGGATTATGAAAAAGATTGAGATTGTGGAGAAAAACATGGAAAAAATCTCATCATCATTATCATCTTCATCATCATAAAAACTGTTGCATAAATTAAGCAAATAACTGTAGTCTTAATTAAACAACTTAGGTGAAACAAACTATGTCAGTACAACTTTAAAATAAATGAAATAGGCTTCTTTTTAATAATGTATTTGTTGATTGACATTTTACTAAACATTTAATTAGAAGCTAAATAAAAACTAATGCATCCTATGGCTATCAATCCATTAACGAAGGACCTCTGTAGAGAGAATCATTGTCCTCCAGACTGTCCCTTAGACACATGCAGTGTCCTGTCCACCCGGGGCTCTAGAAGGGTCAAGTGTTGACCTTTCTGCATCATTAGACCCTCAACGGGGTGGCACAAATGCGTTTGCCCATCAGTCGACATCAGATGGAAGGGGTGTGTGCTGTCAACAACAAACGGGGAAAAAGGGGAATGTGAATTATTAATTCTCTCTGTTAGGGAGAGGACAGTGTGTGACTGTTCCTGTCATTTTGAGACATTCCCTGGGGCAGCTTCTAAATAAAAAGTCGTTCAGTTAAAACAAACAACCCCTGAGGCCCTCAGGACACAGACCAGACATGTCCAACAGTGCGAGCTTAGAGGACGCAAGAGATTTTAGCTGGAGAAACAATGTATGGATGTTAAAGAAGCAACACTTCATATAGGATTCAATATGTTAAAATAAGTTAATCTTTAAGGTTTTGTGATCTAGAGCAAAAGTAAAAAAAAAAATATATATATATATATATGTATATATATATATATATATATATATATATATATATATATATATATATATATATATATATATATATATTTATATATATAAATTAGTGCGTTAACACATGCAATTAATTTGAAATATTTAACGCGCTACAAAAATTAACGCAGTTAACGTAGTTGCAGGTTGTTGTTTTTTTTTACATCCTGTTGTGGCAGACGTGTGTTTAACGTGCAAAGAAATATGGATAAGATCAAGGAAGTACTTTTTAAAGGCAAGTTTCAGTATAAAACAATTAATGTCGCATCACCAGGCTCTTCAGAGTTTCATGCAATTTCAGGTGTTTCATTTTTAACTTTCGACTTCTGTTTTAATGGAATTTGATACCGCATGGCGAACGGAAAGAAAAACCTCAGCATTTTGTGACGGTGTCGGTGGTCCTTTAAGTTAATCATCTGCTTACATTAAGGTAAATCGCTGCTTACATGGTAGACTCTTAATAGGAGTATTATCTTAATCATATTAAAATTGAAGTATTGGTGTCCATGTAAATGTACTCAGAAAGTGTCTGATGAATTTGCGAGCTGTCAGACAGCTCATGTTTCACGCTCACGTTTGGATTTACTAACAATGAAATTAACGTGGGAATTTGCGCAGGTCCATGCCAACTTCATGCCTGGCGTATGCACATTTCTTGTGTGTGTCTGTTTTATTTCCATTGGTGACTCCTAGAATAAGGAGAATAAGTTTATCAGACGCTGGATTCGAACCGAGTTCATGCTCAAAAGTGTCAAAACATGTTGCCATGCGTTTTATGAGCTACGCCACTCACGCTGTTAGACACTACAAAATTGTACACTATTTCTTTTTTTTATCCACTCAGTGCAATGTTCAGACCCAACTGTGTTAACCGCACCAGCTAAACTCTCCCACTCTATTTTTTTTTTCTTTTGTTATTAAATTCCAGAGAACAAACTTGCAAATAACACAGTTTTTCTAGGTTATGTTAGGTTATGCCAAAGTAGAGTCATTAGCATATTCATACGGGGGGAGGAAGGGAGGGGTTTTGCGCTTGTGCATGTTGCACTCAGTTTCACGTTCATTTGGATGTACAAAGAGAATATGCGTGTGATTCGGCGTACGCAGTGTTTCATACATCTGAATTTTTTACTCCGTATGCACATTTACAGCTTTTATGTTTTAGTATGATTTCAACGCAAGTCTTCGTACATGAGGCCCCTGGTCTGTATGTGCGCACGTGCGTTTCTTAGCAACAAACCTGCCTAAACGTCGTTGTCTGTAGCCCCCTAAATCAAAAAGTTACGAATTGCCGTGAGATTGTGTTGCACTCGCAGCTCTCATCATTTAATAGAAAAGGTCCATATTGTTCCTCGATAATGTCAACAGACTGGACTTTCTTAGCAACTGGATTAATGTAAAAGAAGACTAAGCAAAATTGTTTCTACTTTATAATTAATGTTCTCAACTCACAGCAATACAACTTTACAATGAGTGCAATTGTTTGTATTCAATTCTTTATTGTTATTATAATTTTCTTTTTACCATATCTGCAATGCCTGTATTTTGGATTTTTTTGTAGTCCACTTAGAATCCAACTTGGAAATATATATATTTTTCTTTAGTGGCATTGATTATTTTAAAACTCAAATTGCATCAACATGCCTTTGTTTTTATTTCTGTAATAAATATGGCTGTCAAGCCAGGAACGTGATGGTTTATTGTGGATATGTTGTTTACATGAAGAAATCTCTGTTACAAGTAAAAAAAATTGTAATAAACAATTATATTTTGAATTTAAATAGTTTATGTCTTGCGTCTACATAAATTTATCATGTGAATAGCCAAAGTTACAAGTTTCAGTTTTTTTAAATGTGATTAATCGCGATTAATTTTTATAAAAAAGTGCAATTAATTAGTTAATTTTTAATTGAATGACAGCACTACTATTATAGACCACTGTCCTTTAATTTACTAGGTTAACCCCATTTGTCAGCAAGTAGGTTTGTCACTTTATGTGTATAAAGCAGGTAAAATAAGTATTGAACACATTAAGATTGTTTTCCAGTAAATATATTTCTAAAGGAGCTATTGACATGAAATTGAACTTGAATACATTTCTTAGGTTTGATTTTTTTTCACAGACCTTAACAGAGTTTAAAAATCTTGATGGTTCTATTGGTCTTATCTATTTACTCTCCTCTTTAGTTCTTATTTTCAATTTAGTTGATTGGTGATTGACCATTCATGCTGCTTTATTTTCTTCTTCTGAAACCAGTTGAGTTTCCTTGGTTGTATTTGGGGTCATTGTCTTTACAATTTACAGTAACGAGAGGCAGGCTTGCTTTCAAACTACTGAGAGATTTCAGCTGCTCTCTGGGCTTTCCATGACTTTTTAACACCTCAATTTCTTTATGTGTTCAAAATGGTTTCCCTGAGTCATTTCCTTTTATTACACATAACTCAAAATCAAAAGTAATTAGTCTTGTTTTTTTTTTTTTTTTTTTTTTTTTTTGTATGAATGAATTATTTAGTTGGTACTGAAATCAGATAAAAGTTTAAAGACAACAGTTTTAGAAAATTTTATAGAATAGAAGTCAAAAATTTTACCCCAAAATTGTTACCATGAAAATGAAGTTCTTAATATAAATAAATATTACATAAATAAATAAATAAATAAATAAATAAATATATATATATATATATATATATATATATATATATATATATATATATATATATATATATATATATATATATATATATATATATATATATATATTCTCTGAGAGAAATAAATAATAATAATAATTAAATAAGATAAAATAAAATAAAAAATAAGTGAGCAAGTTTACAATAAAAGAGTTAAAAAAGGGAAAGAAAAGAATAAAAAAGAAAAGTTTGCGTTAAAAAGTCAATATTTCCTCGTTCTAGTTATTTGATATTTGATATTTGAAATGTGTATTTGATATTTGTCTAAAACAAAGTTCCATGGGACTCATGTATCAATGCTGCGTACGCACAAAAACTTTGCGTACGCCAGGTTTCATGCTCAGAATCGCTCACATTTGGATTTACTAACAATGAACAGAACGTGGGAATGTGCACAGCTCCATGGCAGCTTCTTGGCTGGCGTACGCACATTTTTTGTGCGTGTGTGTTTTATTTCCATTGGCGACTCCTAGAGGCAGTTGTGTTAAATTGCTCTCTACAAAGTGTCTGAGCCTCGCAATGGCAGCTGTATGAGACGGGTTCATCTAGCAGGTATATAAGGTTTCCATACCATAAATTTGACCAGCCAAACTGTAATTGCAGCGGTCGCCTGTTTTCCCAATGTAATCTGAGCTATCTACTGCACGCACATTGCTATAAAGACACTACCTGAAGATGAATTTGCATGTGTGAATCAGAAACATTTCTATTCAATAGATGTGCAAATAAAATACGATGCACAAACTTATTAATGCTTCCTACTTGTCTTTCTCGTGATAAATAGTTGGCAAAATCTGATATGTAGCAGGGGAAAAAAGAAGAAATAGTTCATCAGACGCTGGATTCGAATAGATTCATGCTCGAACGTGTCAAAACATGTTAACATGCGTTTTACGAGCTGCGCCACAGCAACTGTTAAAGGTATTGCAACATTTTACACCTATAAACCACACTATTTCTCTTTTAACTCCACAGTGTGATGTTCAGACCCAACTATGTTAACCGCATCATCTAAACTCTCCCACTCTATTTTTTTCTTTTGTTGTTAATTCCGAAGGACAAATTTGCAAATAACATTGCTTTTCTCCGGTCTACCCCCGAAAGCAGCACCTCCAATTCACATTCTGTTCAAAGTTTCTCTTCTTGCTTGCTTTTGCCTTTGCTTTTTTCGTTGGGTTTTGCCAAAGTAGAGTCATTTGCATCTTTATACGGGGGAGGAGGCAGGGATGGGTTTTGTGCTCGTGCATGTTGCGCTCAGTTTCACGTTCATTCAGATGTACAAAAGAATATGCGTGAGATTCGGCGTACGCAGTGTTTCATACATCTGAATTTTTTTCTGCGTAAGCACATTTACAGCTTTGTGCGTACGCAATGTTTTAGTATGATTTCCACGCAAGTCTTAGTACATGAGGCCCCAGGTGTGTCAAAAAGCTTTGAGAGATGCTGCAAGTAAGCATTTTAACTCGTCTAGCTAAAAGAGTAGAAAAAGCAATAACCTTGCAACAGTCAAGTCAACACTGTCTGAAATACCAAAAAGGGCTGTCAAGGGGTTAGGGTCTAGATTTAAGTGTATCAAAAACACTGCACCAGAAATTGTCAAAAAATGTCAATTAAGGGCAAATCCAAAATTATGGACATGATTAGCAGGAAACTGTTTATAGCAATGATAGGCATCACTTCTATCAGGAAAATAGCTAATTTGGCATTAAAATGTGCTCTTTAGAGCACCTTACACTGCATTAGGCCATCTCTAGCACACATAGAGAAGGAGTGGACCATCTTTAAAATATCTTCCCATTGTTCTTCCGCAATACCAACACCAAGGTCATTTTTCCAAGATTTTTACATATAGTATTTCTAAGAGTATACCAACTTTTATTAATAGGTTCAGGCCACATGATGAGTCATTATTACATGCATTTGCGGTACTCTAAATTGAACCTGATTTTTTTTAAATGTAAATTTCACAAAATGTATTTACTTTACATTCTAACAACATATTATTTGTAAATGCTTATGAAGAAAACTTATTTATAAATGTGACTCTGGACCACGAAACCAGTCAAAACCAAACTAACCAAAAATACATGTTATGGGTTATTACTGATTTTTCCTTTATGACAAAAAAAGCATTAGAATATTAATTAGATATTTAGTAAATGTCCTACTTTAAATACATCAAAACATATTTTTTCATAATTAATGTGCATTACAAAGAACTTCATTTAGGAAATTTTAAAGGTGATTGATTGATTGTTTGATTGACTGACTGACTGACTGACTGACTGACTGAACGATTGACTGAATGATTGACTAATTGACTGACTGACTGACTGACTGACTGCTTGCTTGATTGATTGATTGATTGATTTTTTTACCCTCAGATACTAGAAAATTTCAGTCTCAGCTACATGCCGTCCAATCCTAACAAACCAATCATCAATGTTTTTAGCTTATTTATTCAACTTTCAGATGATCTCAATTGCAAAAAAGCGTTACCCATTGACTGGTTTTGTGTTCCAGGGCTCATTTATATGTTAATACCAGAAGTATTAAGGAAATGTACATACCATTATTGACAAGGACATGTAGAGGCAAACCTTTGGCATTATATCTCTGGACGAACTGGCGAACAGATGTCAAAGAGGCCAAATCCAAGTACATGAACTCCACTAAAAGCAAAAACAGATCACAAAATCAGTACTTAGGCAGAAGCTGCAATATAAGAACTGAAAATGAGAAGAAGAATTACTTGAATTGAGATTCAAACTTAATATGAACATTTTAACAAAACATTATGTCAGTTTAATGACATCTTACATAATTTGCCTCATTTCACTTTAATCTTAAATGACTTTTGTCTCTATGAAACACCAAAAATAAATATTTTAAAGCATGTTGGTAGCTAGGTTTCACTCAAATATATACAATAAATGTCATTCAAATACACCTGAAAAACTTTGGTTACCAATACTCGTTCATTCGTTCAATAAATCTATGAAAGTCAATCAAATGTCAGAATGTTGTACATTTGGGTAAACACTTCTTTCATGATAATCTTTTAAAAACTGTTTCTGATAAAAAAAATAAATAAATAAATAAAAAAGATTAAGGTCAATTGCTTTACATTCAAAACAACAATTTCATTTAAGCATCATGTGTGCTGCCATTGCATAATAGGCAACTGAACCGAACTGGAGTTTAAAAGGTATTTTCATTTCCCAACGGCCCACAACACTGGCGACAAGCACATGATGAACTGCTCAATAACAGCACAAGCATGTAAACAGCAATAATAATTATTTAACAATATGAGGACTCAGAGAAAGGTCTTCATTAAACCAGGATGCAAAATGGTTTAAACATTACAGCAAGATGTATTCAGCAGCATCATTCCACGATACAAATGTAATGCTGATTACAGCATATTTCCATATTCAGATCATAAGTCAAACACATTTGTCCTCCTCAAATTGTCAGCTTGTTTTACAGGGGTTTGTTTTGAACTGTAGTTGCAGGCTAAATTCTCTGTTGATTCATTCAGTGTTTGCATGCCATAGTTCATTTATTAGCCTTTTTTTCTGTTGGGATGTACATCAAAGCACGTCCAATTAGTCTCATTTCAAAGCATGCAATTTATTCCACGCATTAAAGCTCACCTAAGGTCAAAAGGACTTTTCTCTCATCATCCTGAATGACCTGGCAATGTTTCAATGATCACTTCTTTTTAAAACAAACATTAAAATTACCATAATTGCCCAAAATATCTGCTCTGAAGCTCACTAACAGAGAAAACAATAACATAGTTAAATCACACAATGTAGTTCAATTCATTATGTAGTTCAAGCATTATGACCTGAGACTGAACAGATTGTATTTATTAAACTAGGCCAAAATATTAATATATAATACAATTACATATATGTTATGGGATAATCAACAGATTACTATGCGTTAAAGGATTTTAAATGCATGAAGTCCCTCAGTGTAGTGCATTCAAATTGATTAAATTGAAGTGCCCTTGATTTTCTGCTTATTCCGATAAATTTTAAACTGAGATTAAAACTGACTGGAACTAGCAGTGCGTTAAATTATTTAATCGCAACCTTTCTAGTTAATCAGAATCAAAAATTTTAACGGACCATAGATTAAAATAAATTAATCAATTACTGTAACAGTATTGTATTCCCTTTTGTGTTCCCCTTTGCGTCTTTTCACCTTTACGTTCCAAGCCCTTGTTAGCTGTCATAGTTACCCCTTGCTGCTGAGTCAATTGCCCCTTTCACACAGTGATACCGGAAAATTTACGGAACAACTTTACCGGTAGATTAAAAAAAGTGCTGTTCACACAGGTGAGGACGTTGGGGATTTTTTCCGGAAAAGAGAATTCACACATCCATTCCAAAATACCGGTAAATTCTGACATCATTAACCAGAAATGACCTCTAAACGGCTGCGCTTGTATTTGTAAATGTTTGACTACATTACAAACTCTGGATGGATCAGTGTTGTGAACAACTTCGATGAAAACATATAGAGACACACTTTCGCATGTCGAGATGTTCATGATGTGTGTGTGTGTGTGTGCTGGCTTACCAGCTGCTTCATGGGCACACGCGACACAGAGCTTGAAGGTAAACGAACAACGGCTTATCATAAACATATTATCAATAATTATTAACACTGTTGGCATTAAGAAAAAACATATACATGTTATCTGACTAATCTCTAGCAGCTAAAGGTGTCTGGAAAAATATTTAAAGGCTTTTATTTTCATAAACCGTGCGGACGTGAATGCTTCTGACTGTTCTGATTGGCTGAAGTAGACATCTCATGTCAGCACGTTCTAGACGTGCACACGCTCTTTCCGGCTATCTTCCTTCTACATTCACACAGCGCAGCACTCCTGCAAATTACTGGTAATGTTACAACTTCTCTTTCCGGAAAATTGCCAGAACGAATTTACCGGTATTTTCAAAAAGGACCTGTTCACACATACATCCTTTCCGGAAAATAGCCGGTAATTTTACGGAAAGGTCTGTGTGTGTGAAAGGGGCTATTGTCTCCGCCCCTCGTTACCTTGTTTGCTCCTTGTATAAAAGCTCATGTGTGAGTTGTTAATGAACACATCATGTATAAGGTTTCCTTAAGATGTTTCTTCCTTCTCTGTGTTTCTTTAGCCCCTTTCACACATACGGACCTTTCTGGAAAATTACCGGCAATTTTCTGAAAAAGGGATCATGTGTGAACAGGTCCTTTTTGAAAATACCGGTAAATTCGTTCTAGCAAATTTCCGAAAAGAGAAGTTGTAACATTACCGGTAATTAGTAAGTTGTAACATTACCGGTAATTACCGGTGAGTGCTCTATGTGAAGGTAGAAGGAAAACTGACGGAAAGAGCATGCTCACGATTTGAACATGACGTGAGATGTCTACTCCAGCCAATCAGAACACTCACACACATACACATCTGTGCTGTTTATGAAAATAAAAGCCTTTGAATATTTTTCCAGACACATTTAGATGTTAGATATTCCTTCTGAATGCCAACTGTGTAAACAATCATCGATAATATGCTTATGATAAACCGCTGTATGTTTACCTTCAAGCTCTGCTTTAATTGCTTGACACGTGTGCATGTGAAGCAGCCAGTAAGCGGCGACACTCACACACATAAATTTACATTTTGATATGCGAAAGTGTTCCTCCATATGTTTTCATCAAAGTTATTCACAATACTTATCCATCCACTGAAGCTCATTTCTTCTTAATGATGTCAGAATTTTCCTGCATTTTGGAATGGATGTGTGAATGGTCTTTTCCAGAAAATTTCCGGAACATCCGTGCCTGTGTGAACAGCACTTTTTTGAATTTACCGGTAAAGTCGTTCTGGAAAATTTCTCGATATTTACATGTATCACTGTGTAAAAGGGGCTATTGCCTCTCTTACTTCACCATTAGTTTCTTTCCCTGTTGAACACAAAATATATCCCATTGATTTGGATAGTATTCTTGGCACCCATTGACTTCCACAGTAAGTCCATTGGTCCTAGCAACCAACAATGCTCAAAATATTTCTTGTTCAACACAAGAACTCAAAAAGGTTTAAAACCACAGAATAACTGACAAAGTAAGATTAATTTTTTGGTGAACATTCATTAATTTTCCTTCAGCTTAGTCCCTTTATTCATCAGGGGTCGCCACAGTGGAATAAACCACAAATTATCCAGCATATGTTTTACACAGCAGATGCACTTCCAGCTGCAACCCAGTACTGGGAAACACCCATACACACTCATTCACATACATACACTATGGCCATTTTAAGTTATTCAATTTACCTATAGCACATGTCTTTGGATTGTGGGGAAAACCGGAGCACCAGGAGGAAACCTACTTGAACACGGGGAGAACATGCAAAAGTGGTTAGCACTGTAGCCTCACAGCAAAATTAGTTGGCATTTGTGTTTGAGTTTGCATGTTCTCCCATGTTCGTGTGCAGTTTCCTCCAGGTGCTCCGGTTCCCCCAACAGTACAAAGGTGAATTGCACTATAGGTGAATTGAATTGGCCGTAGTGTATGAGTGTGCATGTTAGAGAGTAAGGGTGTTTCCCAGTACTAGGTTGCAGCTGCTGCTGGGCATCTGCTGTGTAAAATATATATGCTGGATAAATGTACGGTTCATTCTGCTGTGGTGACCCTTGATGAATAAAGGGACTATTCATTTATTAATTTTCTTCTCGGTTTTATTAACCAGGGGTCACCATAGCGGAATGAACCGCCAACTTATCCAGCATATGTTTTACACAGCAGATGTCCTTCCAGCTGCAAGCCATCACTGGGAAACACCCATACACTCTCATTCACATGCATACACTATGGACAATTTTAGCTTACCCAATTCACCTGTACCACATGTCTTTGGACTTGTGGGGGAAACCAAAACACTCGGAGGAAACCCATGCGAACGCAGGGAGAACATGCAAACACCACACAGAAATGCCAACTGACCCAGCCATGGCTCGAACCAGTGATCTTCTTATAAAGGGACTAAGCTGAAGAAAATAAATTAATTAAGTGTCTTCATAAAATTGTGTCAATGGTGATCAATCTTTGGTCAATATTCAGGGCTTATATTGTGTGTTCTATTGTGGGTCCAAAACAGGACATTAAACGACTAATAACTAACCTTATTTTATTTTTGTTTCACAAATGTCTCATTAAAATGTCAAAATGATTTTAAAACTGATCTGAGATCAGGTAAAACTATGCAACCTGTTCAGTATCAATGCCCCGTACTGAAATCCCAAAACCTTTACAATCTGATGTGCATTGATTCAAAACAAAAGATTCATTAAAGTTTCAAAGCTTCATGAAGCATTGGACGCAGACAACAGTAATTTATATACTGATAAATCTTAATCGGAGTTTGCATGTTCTCCCCTTGTACACGCTGGTCTCCTCCGGGTGCTCTGGTTTCCCAAACAGTCAAAACACATGCACTATAGGTGAACTGGTTGAACTAAATTGGCCGTAGTGTATGAATGTGTGAATGCGAGAGTGCATGGGTGTTTCCCAATGCTAGGTTGCAGCTGGAACTCAGCGTTCAACGCTGTGTAAAATGTATGCTAGAATAGTTGCCGGTTCATTCTGCTGTGGCGACCCCTGATAA